AGGCTCTATTGGACCAGCAAACCTGGTCCCCACCTTCTTTTTTTTTTTTCTTGACACAGTTTTAAGTTTATAGAAAAATTGTGCAGAAAGTTCAGAGTTCCCATCTACCCCCTCCCCCTGCATATGGTTTCTTCTACAGTGAAACCTTTGAAAGCTGGAGCTGCTTTGTTTATCCAGTCCTTGAAAGTTTTCTGCCATTATCAGCAGGGGCAGTTTTACCACTTTTCTAATGTTTCTTTTAGTGGAAAATAACTTTGAGTTTTCTTTCTTAAGAGGTTTCTACCTTATGCAGGCCCCAGCTTTTGCAGGTTTTACTGTATTAACTTCTTGTGTTCTGTGGTGTATTGGTACAATTCATGAACTCATGTTGATACATCATTACTAACTAAAGTCCGTAGTTTGCATTGGAGTTCACTCTTTGTGTTGTACACAATCTATGGGTTTTGACAAATGCATGTTATGTGTTACGGTATCATACAGAATAGTTTCACTGACCAAAAATTGCCCTGACCAATTACCTCTTCATCCCCTAGCCCCCATCCCTTGCAACTACTGATCTTTTCCCTATCTCTATAGTTTCAACTTTTTCAGAATGTCCTATAGTTGGAATCATAGTGAACAATATATTTTGGATAACAAGGGTCTAACTGACCAACTTCCAAGTTGATAACTGAGAAAACTGAGGGTCAGAAAAAGGGAGATGTGACTCACCCAAGATAACACAGCATGTTAGTCATTCAGTCCTTCATGAATGTCCACTGACCAGGCCATGTGCTGGGAGCTAGGGCTAGAGCTAGGAACAGGACAAATCCAATTGCTGCCCCCCATAGAGCCTGTAGTCTAATGGGAGATACAGACTGAAGGCAAACAGATAAGCAAATGAGTTAATTACAGATCTAAAGAAATGCTTTAGAGGAGAGAGACAGGGCTATGTGGTGGGGAATTATATGGAGGTTGCTATGGGTGGGTAGGCAAAGCAAGCCACTTAGGAAGAGAGGTCAGGGAAGTTACTAGAACCATAATTTTAACTTAGGCCTTCTGATTCCAAATCTGTAACTTTTCTTTGCCAGGCAGGGCCATCCTACCTCCCCACTAGGGTTTGGAGATGGGTACTACTGACCCTACCCCCACCCATTTCTGTCTCACTGCACTCTCTTCTGCTCAGTATTTGTACAGCAGAGTGGAGCCTGCAGCAACTATAGTGATTTGGTAATAGGACAGTGTTCAGGCTTTTGTTTTAGGATAATTTATGATATGCAACAAAAGCCAGGCCCTAGTCCAGTTGAGATGCTTCAACAAATGGATGCCACACTGGAAGCTCTCACTAGTCTATACCAAGAAATTTGCAAGACAATTACCTGGCCACCAACTGGAAAAGATCTATATTTGTACCCATTCCAAAGAAAGGTCATCCAACAGAATGCAGAAATTATCGAACTATATCATTAATATCACACACAAGTAAAATTTTACTGAAGGTAAATAAAAAATGATTGCACCAGTATACTGACAGGGAACTGCCAGAAGTTCAAGCTGGATTCAGGAGAGGACATGGAACGAGGGATATCATTGCTGATGTCAGATGGATCTTGGCTGAAAGCAGAAAAACATGTTTACCAGTGTTTTACTGACTACATAAAATCCTTCAACTATGTGGATCATAACAAATTACGGATAACATTGTGAAGAATGAAAATTCTAGAACATCTAATTATGCTCATGAGGAACCTGTACATAGACCAAGAGGCAGTCTTCAAACAGAACAAGGGGATACTGCATGGTTTAAAATCAGGAAAGGTGTGCATCAGGGTTGTATGCTCTTACCATACTTATTTAATCTGTTTGCTGAGCAAATCATCCAAAAAGTTGGATTATATGAAGACTTCAAGATTGGAGGAAGACTCAGTAACAACCTGTGATATGCAGATGACACCACAACCTTGCTTCCTGAAACGGAGAAGCTCTTATTGATGAAGATCCGAGACTACAGCCTTTAGTATGGATTATACCTCAACATAAAGAAAACAGAATTCCCCACAACCAATAAGCAACATCATGATAAATGGAGAAAAGATTGCAGTTGTCAAGGATTTCATTTTACTTGGATCCACAATCAATGCCTGTGGAAGCAAGAAATCAAACTATGTATTGCATTAAGTGAATCTGCTGCAAAAGACCTCTTTAAAGTGTTAAAAAGCAAAGATGTTAATTTGAGGACTAAGGTGCTCCTAGCCCAAGCCACGGTAATTTCACATGCCTCATATGCATGCAAAAGCTGAATAATTAATAAGGAAGACCAAATAGTTGATGCCTTTGAATTATGGTGTTGGCAAAGAATGTCAGTTATATCATGGACTACCAGAAGAATGAATGAATCTGCCTTGGGAGAAGTGCAGCAAGGATGGTGAAACTTTGTCCTACTTACTTTGGGTATGTATCAAGAGGGACAAAACCCTGGACACGGCATTATACTTGGTAAAGTAGAGGGGCAGCCAAAAAACCCCTCAACAAGTTAGATTGACACAGTGGCTGCAATGATGAGCTCAAGCACATCAACGATTGTGAGGATGGTGCAGGACTGGGCACTGTTTCATTCTATCGTGAGTAGGGTCATTATGAATTGAAACTAACTTGACAGCACCTAACAACAGTAGTCCAGATGCGACTAAGAAATGGTCTGAAGGTTTTTCCTTTATCACCTGGAAAGCACAAACGCCAGCAATTTCCTCCCATTCAGAATCACAAGAATCACCTGGGCTGCTTGTGAAAATTACTGGCCTCGCCCAGGTCCTGACCGAGTCCTGCCCTGCAGGTCCTGTTCCAGGTCAATGGATCAACTGCCAGGGAGGGGCCCTGGAACCTGTATTTTAGGAAGCAGCCCAGATGATTCCTATGATCAGAATCATTTGGTAAACCTGTGGATGGAAGACTCTGGCATGTTGGTGTCTTCCTGCCTTTTTGTGTGGTTGTAGAAGCCACAAAGATTTCTTCCACAGTGACTCAGAAGTATGGCTATGGCTGAGTCCGTGATGGTTAGAAACTTCTGTGCCTGTTTATGTGCATGTAGCACTCTCCCACCAATCCTAACCCAGGATTCCAGCTCCCTTTGCTCCCCATTCAAACACCCTTTCTTCTCTAAGTTTCCCTGACGTCTTTGGGTATTTGAGTTTAGGCAGAGTCCAGAAGGCCTGGAGGGAGCCCCAGGAACCTTCTCATAGCCCCACCCTTATCCCCTGGTCTCTGGCTTGTGCAGACCTGTTTGGCTGGAGATTGAGTGAGAGATTGATGATGGAGAAATGAGTGGTATCCAGGCCAGAGTCTGCTGACTTGGACAGTGGGGAAAAGGTAGATTTCACTGGGTAAAACTGTAAGCCCTTGTACAATTAGTTAATTTTCTTGTAAAAAATGGATAGAGGTGCTCATCAGCCCCCTGAAGATGGCCCTTCCTAAGTCAAAATGGGGAAGGAGAAAAGCGAGGGGGCCATGGCAGAGGAGCTGGAATAAGCTTGGGGCCTAGTCCTTGTGGAGTGGGACCTTGGTTTTTCCTTCCTCTGCCCTGGGACTCCCCTGGACACCCAGATGCTGCCTTTGGAGGGGCTTGGAGGATGTCAGGGTGTGAAAGGCCTCTCTCTGGATGTGTGCTCTGTGTGGCAGCTTTGTGCTTTCTGGAGGAGGGAAGGGGGCAGGCTGTGGGCATGTTCTGTTTTGGTGTCTAGGCGGGAGCATTTGTGGAACCAACCAGACATCTGTGACTCTTACCTCCTAGGTGGCCGGAGGCAGCCAGGATGACAGCTCTCCCCAGGAACCAAGCCACCCGCTGAAAAACATGATCAGCAAGTCCCGTAAGTGTGGTCCAAGTGCTCCCCAACCCTGGAGGATGGGCTTTCCTGAAGCAGTCTTGAGTGGCTTTGGATGACAAACGGGAAGTCAGAGGCCCAACTTTTCATTTTGAAGGAAAGTAGAAATACTCAGGTCTAAGCTCTATGCTGGAAGGCCAGAGCCAGGACAAACCCAGGGCCTGGGTCTGCTTGAGTTTGGGGTTGGAGGAACCTGGAATGGCAGGTGAGAAGGTGGTGGACCAGGACTGCCCCTGGCCGTTTCTGTCTCTAGCTTCTCTGTGCATGTGCCCCGCAGGCTGGAAGCTCCTGGCCATGCTGGCTCTGGTCCTGGTCATCATGGTGTGGTATTCCATCTCCCGAGAAGACAGGTACATTGAGCTGTGAGTTCATCTTCCATGTCCATTGGTTCTTTTTAGGGATATGGCTTTCTAGCTCTCAGCCTCACAGGGTGGCAGCCCATGTGGGGCAGGAGGAGCAGAGAGCATGGGCATGTCCTCTCCCCTTCAGCTACTAGCATGGGATCCTGTGGAGGGAGGTGAGGGCAGATGGGAACCTGCAGGGTAGAGTCTGGGATGACTCCCCCAGCCCTCATCTAGGGGTGCAGGCAAAGGAAGAGCTGGATTCTTAGTAATTTGGTTTCAAAGTAGAATTTGGGTTGAGATGATACACCAGCCAAGTGGAATCAGCCTCCAGGTCTTTCTCCAGCACCTTGGTACCCTTGTGCCTTTGGAGAAGGTTGAGGCTGCTGGGTTGCTGATCCCTGGGCTGCTCAGGTCTTATTGGAGTCTCTTTCTGTCTCCAGTTTTTATTTTCCCATCCCAGAGAAGAGGGAGCCGTGCCTCCAGGGTGAGGCAGAAAGGAAAGCCTCTAAGATCTTTGGCAAGTACGTGAGGATGAGGTGGAGGCCAGGGCATGGGGTGAGCTGGGACTGAGGGATTCCTAGGGTGGGGGCCTCAGTACTGGCTACATGGAGGGAGGGGGCGAGTTGGTCTCAGGTTGAGTGAAGCAGGCAGGAACAGAAGGGCCTTGGATATGTACATATATTAGTCAGGGGCCTGTCCCTCATTCTTACATCAGAACTAATCCCTTCCTCTTCCCCACCTCTGTGCAGCTACTCCCAAGATCAGCCCATTTTCCTGCAGCTTAAGGACTTTTTCTGGGTCAAGACACCCTCTGCCTATGAGCTGCCCTATGGAACCAAGGGGAGTGGTAAGTACATAACCAACTTAGTAGTAATGTTGCTCACCCTTGGCCACACTGCTTCCTGTCCTTTGTTCCCCATGCCCCTAGTACCCTACTTCTGAGCCAGGCTCGGGTATAGGGGCAGGGCAGGAAAGAAGCAGCTGAGGCTTTGAGGAGTGATGCAGGGTGGGTGGACAGCTTTCAGAATGCTGGCTCTTGTCATCAGTACCCTTCCAACCTTATTCTTTTGCTAGAAGACCTGCTTCTCCGGGTTCTAGCCATCACCAGCTACACCATGCCAGAGAGCATCCAGAGGTAAGGAAACATTCCTCCCCTCGGGTCTGACTGCTTTGTTTTCTTCATGCCCGTATGAAATAGTCATGGCCTAATTGCATCCCAGTGAGCCTCCTTATTGGTCCCCTGTGGCCAGTTTTGGCCCTTTTCCCTAGCCTATCTCTAGGGGATCCATGTACAACCCCCATAGCAACACAGCCTGGACATCTAGGTGCCAGAGCAGGCAGAGGCTGCTGAGGGTATCATCATAGCAATGGGCAGGACTGGGCAGCAGGCAGGGTGCTCTGAATTAGAGTTTCTTGTTGGTACTTCCATGTGTCTTCCCTCCTCTCCTTCTCCCTCTTCCATACTTTCTCAATTTCCCCTCCCTTTAAAGTCCAGGGCTACAAAGCCAGCATGACCACTAGCAGGACCATTTGGAGCTCCGTGGCCCATGGGGACCAGAGGTTGAGGGGACCAGAGGTTGAGGGGGCCCTAGGAAAGGACCCTGAGACAGGCCTCAGACAGATCCAGGACAATGGGAGTTCATTGGAGTAGGGGTTGCTTTTGGGCCTCATGCTCCTTCTTCCCATGGCAGCCTGAAGTGCCGCCGCTGTGTGGTGGTGGGGAACGGGCACCGCCTACGGAACAGCTCACTGGGAGAGGCCATCAACAAGTACGATGTGGTCATCAGGTCTGTGTGGCTGCTCCTTGCCCTCTTGTTTGGGAGCTGTTTGGGATTTGAACAGTGGGCAAGGCCTAGTGGTGCTCTAGGTGATGGGCATCCCCCCTCCCTGCCTTCCAGATTGAACAACGCTCCAGTGGCTGGCTATGAGGGGGATGTGGGCTCCAAGACCACCATGCGTCTCTTCTACCCTGAATCTGCCCACTTTGACCCCAAAGTAGAGAATAACCCAGACACACTCCTGGTCCTGGTAGCATTCAAGGCGATGGACTTCCACTGGATTGAGACCATCCTGAATGATAAGAAGCGGGTAAGTGTGGGGTATGGTGGAGAGAAGGGGTCTAGGGGTGGGAACACACTTGAGACAGGACCACACACTCCATGTCTGCCCTGCACCCCTAGAGAGCTAGTGAGGGGAAGGAGTGAACTCAGCTCCTGGAACTGCCTGAGTCTTCCCATTGAGGTCAGTGTTCTGTAGGGCATCTCATAAGATACCCAGCAGCCAGGGCATGAGAGCCTCTGGGAATCGGCAGTGGCAGCCCAGGGGAACACCAAGATGAGACCTTGACTGCCTTGGCCCCAGTGGCCACTCCAGGTGTAAGGCCTGTCTAGGGCACGAAAGTGGTCAGAATATGTATTTGCCTATGAGAAATGGGAAGAGAGAGACTCTCCATAGTCATCTCCAGGCAGGAGTGGGTTAGAACAGTCACAGTCTGTGCCCTTCTGGAGGGTCCCCAGAAAGAGTCCACTCCTCTTTTTATCATTTGGTCATTGTTGAACTGCCCAGTCTGGCATTTTTGCCAAGTGTCCAAAAAGCCTAAATCAAACCCTTCTCTATGTTGGGATAGCCTTAGAGGTGGGGAATGGCTTGATCCCACACTCTACAAACCTTGTCATCAGCCCTCTTCTAGGGGCACCCTCTCCCTGGTTTTCTCGTCTGGTCTCTTCCCTTCTCTGGTGTTGGCACCCACCTCTCTTTCTTCTCACCTCTGCACTCCTGAGGGCTCCTGACTGAGGACCAGCAGGCTGGACTTTACAAACTGGTCTTCACTCCCATCTCTCCCTTTCAACCTACCACCCCCCACCTCAGGTGCGAAAGGGTTTCTGGAAACAGCCTCCTCTCATCTGGGACGTCAACCCAAAACAGATTCGGATTCTCAACCCCTTCTTTATGGAGATTGCAGCTGACAGACTGCTGAGCCTGCCAATGCAACAGCCACGTAAGATTAAGCAGGTGATGAGAGGCTGGGGCTGGGAAGCCAAGCCAGAGGGTTGGAGTCCTGGGTGGGAAGTAGCTGGGACTTTCCTGGAGGCTTACAATGCAGTGGAGGACCCCATGAGAAGGGAGAATAATAATCTAGACAGTAGTTTACATTTGAATACCCACTGCCATCCATTAGATTCTGACTTATAGCACCCAACAGGGCAGAGTAGAACTGCCCTATAGAGTTTCCAAAGCTGTAAATCTTTACGGAAGTAGACTGCCCAGTCCTTCTACTGCAGAGCAGCTGGTGGGTTTGAGCTGTTACCTTTAGGTCAACAGCTGAGTATTTTAGCCACTGCACTACCAGTGCTCCTTTGTTTTTTTTTTTTAATTTTATTTTGATTTGGGTGAAGATTTACAGAGTAAATTCACTTTTCATACAGCAGTTCACATAATATACTTTGTCTCATGTCATTGACCAAAATTTACAATGCCACAGCTCCCTTCCCACTTCCTCCCCATAGTTACCTCTTCCCAGTGTCTATCCCTCCATACTCTTCTGCGCCCTGAGCTGTCTCCCTGTGCATAAGCAGCCCTTCCTTCTCCCATGATTGTTCTCTCTAGGGCGTGTGTCTACTTGAGGTAAATGTTTAATTCACATGCCTGTACTTTGTTTGGCTGGAAACCACAGGTGTGGCTTTAATTCCAGACCTGCAGGGCAGCTAAGGGCCATAGTCTCAGTTGTTCCACCAGGCTCTATTGGACCAGCAAACCTGGTCCCCACCTTCTTTTTTTTTTTTGCCTCCAAATGATTTTGAGTTTTGTTCCACATTGTTCTCCCTCTCTATGCAGGATCTCCTACATCCCTTCCAAGTGGATGACAGTGGTAGCTGCTCCTTTGCTTTTGAATAAAGCAAAAAACCAAACTCACTGCCATCAAGTTGATTCCGACTCATAGCGACCCTCTTTGGGTTTCTGAGGTGGTAAATCTTTATGGAAGTAGATTGCCCAGTGTTCCTTCCACAGAGTGGCTGGTGGGTTTGAACCGCCAGCCTTCTGGTTAGCAGTCAAATGCCTTAGGCACTACACCACCAGAAATCTTCCTTAGGCACTAGCACCTATTAAAGTTAGCCAATCTTCAGGAATACACCTGAAATCAGTTAGGTTTATTATCTTGCTGCAGCAAGAGAAAACAAACTACTGAAAACCCTGAGGCATTTGACTGGTAACCTGAAGGTTCATGCTTCAAACCCACCAGCCACTCTGTGGAAGGAAGACTGGGCAATCTAGTTCCATAAAGATTTACTGCCTTGGAAACCCAAGGAGGGTCGCTGAGTTGGAATCAACTTGATGGCAGTGAGTCTGGCTTGGTTTATGTATAGGGGTTTGGGACTGGAGTTAGAGGATAGTTTTGGCAGGTACTGGTCAGTATTTGTAAACTGAGGAGTTGCTGGAACAGTCAGTGGTCTTATCTTTAGAACAGTGAGCCTGGGACTGCATTACTGTTTGATCAGCTTATCTGTGATTTCATCTTGGAACATTTTGGTCTGAATGAATTAAGAGTTTGAGCTTACATAATGGGCCTTGCATGCCATGGTTTGTGGTATGGTCTGTCAATTTTGAGTCATCATTCAATTTTGCAAGTTATAGTTTCAGCTTCAGCTCCTAGTGGTCTTCACCTGGTGGGCTTTAACATGCTTTGCAGCTTCCCAAGCAGTTTCACATTGATCTTTTGAGCCCCTAGAGATGCTGTACAGGATAGTGGAAGGAGGTAACTAGCAATTCTAGACATGGCTTTTGGCTGAGCCCTTGGCAGATCAGTTGCTTGGGTCCTTGGTTTCTTGTCCTTATGGTGGGGGTAGGAGTCCCTGGGTGGTGCAACTAGTACAGCCCTTGGTGGTTGGAGTCCACCCCAAGGCATTTCAGAAAACAGGCCTGGTGAGCTACTTCCTTGAAAACTATGAAGCACACTTCAGCTCAAAAGCAACTAACAATAATGATGGTGATAATATTAGTACTGACCTAGGAGAGCTACTGTAGGATTTAAGAAGATAATTATGTAAAGTGTCTGCCATGGAGGTTGGTACACAGTGAGTGCTCAATGCATATTTGCCAAATTTTGGGTATATCATTTTTATTCTTCAGTGAGCATCTACTGTTATTCACCTTCATTAAACAAACATATTTTGAATCCCTGCTTTTGCCAGCTCAGTGCCAGGCCCCAAGTTGGCATGCTGGGTGAGTAAGACATGCTCCTTGCCCTAAGGAAACCTGATCTAACAAAATAAATAAACAGGTTAGACTATCGAGTGATAAAATGCCATAATTGAGGGTTGTTTCAGATGCTGTGGGATGTTGAAAGGACAGACTTCTGCTTAGGGCTATCTGGGAAGGCTTCCCAGAGGGGGCAAGAATGGAGTTGGGTCTTGAGACATCGTGGGGGTTCATCAGGCAGAGAATTGAGGAAAGGCATCCAGTTGTCAAGAACTAAGTTGTTCTAATGCAGATGGAATTGAGGAGTATCAAGGGGTAGCATCACAGAGGAGCATGGGGTAGAGGGTGAAGGCTGGAGGAGAGGGGGCAAGACAAGGTAAGGACTTGAACCCAGCTCCTGGCAGTGGAAAGAGAAAGGAGGGGATGGACTAGACTAGACATCTATGTTAGTTTTCTGTTGCAGCATAACACATGATCACAAAGTTAGCAGCTTGAAATAATACCCATTTATTGGCTCACAGTTCATAGGTCAGAAGTCCAACACAGCATGGGTCCCTGCTCAGGGTCTCATAAAACTGACATCAAATTGTCCACCAAGCTGAGTTCTTATCTCTGGAGAAAAATTCCTTTCTAAGTTCATTCTTATTGCTGACAGTATTCAGTATCTTGAGTGTAGAACTGAGGTCCCCATTTTCTTTCTGGTTGTCAGTCGGGAAGCCATCCTCATGTCCTAAAGGCCACTTACACTCCTTGCCATGTGTCCTCCACTCCATCTCCAAGCCAGTAACAGAGCTTCAAGATCTTAGGTTTCACATATCTGACTTCCTTTGTCTCTGATCCCTGGACCAAGATTTAAAGGCTCATGTGATTAGGTCAAGACCACGGGTTAATCTTTTTAACTTGAGGTCTCTCTGTCCCATGTAATGTATCATAATCATGGGAATAATATTTCACCAACTTCATAGTTCCACCCACACTCACGAGGAGGAAGTTAGACAAGTGTCATTGGAGATCATTTTAGAATTCTGTTTGCTACAATATCTTTTTATAGGTGAGATTCAAAGATTTATGACCAATTCTGGGTTTCCAGCTTGGATGAGATGGTAATAAGGAATACCAGGGGAGGAGGAGTAGTTTTTTGGATTTAAGATGCCATGTCCAGGCAGAGCTGGCTAGAAGATGATGGAAATGTGGTTCAATAGGATCTGAACTGGGATGAAATAATTGCAGTGGTATTAAAGCAACAAGGCTGAAAAAGCAGGCCCAGAAAGAGGGTGAAAGATGAGATATAAGAGAGCTTGGACAGGTACCCTAGGGGAAGCCTGACATTAGGGTCCTGATGGTGTCTAAGTTGTGGTGCCCAAATGGGAGTGGGCAGCTGAAGTATCTAGAAAGCAAGTCATTGGAACTAAGGAATGCAAGACTATCAGTGTGCTCTTCCCCATGGATGGATTAGGGATAGAAGAAGTGAGGTCCTCATAGGAGCCCATAAGTTGGATAGGAAGAGTATTGCTATCCCCACTTTACAGAGGGGAGACCCTACCCTCAGAAAGGGTCACCCAGCCAGTAAGTGTCAGAGCCCCCAGGTTTTCTGAAAGAGCCAAGGTTCTCCAAGGAGGGGGACAGAACCCTTCCATTCCTTGGGCAAATTGCTTAACATTTATAAGCCTGTTTCCTCCACTGTGAAATGAGGATAATAGTATTTTCCCCAGAGTGTTTTTGTGAGGATGGGATGAGATAATGTGTTATACTGGGAGAAGTACTTAACATAGTATCTGGTACACAGTAAGTATTCAAAATAATGGATATTATTTTTGTTATTGACACTATTGTCCTACTTATTGCCACCATCATCCCTAGAGGCACAAACACTCCCCCCAGATATGTTGAGCTGTACCATCCAATATGATAGCCACTAGCTACATATGACTATTTAAATTAAAATTAAAGTGAAATAATATTAAAACCTTAGTTATACTAACTCTGTTCACCTGCTCCATAGCCACATGTGGCTGGTGGCTGTCATATTGGACAGCACAGATGAGAGCATTTCCATATTCATAGAAAGTTCTATTGGACTGCATTGATCGAGAAGGTGGTGAAAGGAACAGGGATTCCTCTAAAACCTGCCCTACCCCTCACCCCCCAGAAGCCCACCACAGGCTTGTTGGCCATCACCCTGGCCCTCCACTTTTGCGACTTGGTGCACATTGCTGGCTTTGGCTACCCTGATGTCTACAACAAGAAGCAGACCATTCACTACTACGAGCAGATCACGCTCAAATCCATGGCGGTAAGTGGCCCCTGTCTGCTGACTGGGTGGGGTGGACAGGCCTGGGGACCAGATATCAGGGGAACACTGGGTGAGTGAGGGTGTGCAGGGGCCTAGTGACTCATGGTAAGGTCATTTAGAGGGTTGGAACTGGAACCAAGGCAATCTGGACTCCCAGGCTAGGTTCTTCCATGTCTGGCCACAATGGCTTTCTTACTTCCGAGAGGCAGCATGGTGGAAGGGCATTCCTACAGGTGTGGAGGAGGGGGAGGGATTTCCTGGGGACAGAGAGATCTCCAGGAATCCCTGAGTTTGCTTCCTTGACTCTCCCACAGGGGTCAGGCCACAATGTCTCCCAGGAGGCATTGGCCATCAAGCGGATGCTAGAAATTGGAGTCATCAAGAACCTCACTTACTTCTGAATTGGGCAAGAGCTGTACCTGTCAATCTGCCCAATCCACTGTGAGCCCCCAGCTCGGCTGTGGGGGTACCTGGTTCTAGTGTGATCCACTTGGACTCACCTCCCGCTGCCTGGGGAGAAGGTCCCTGGACTGACTGGCCAGGGCTGAGAGGTGGCCATGCCCCAGGCTGCTCTTGTGGGGCCCAGATGTAGTCAGGGCAGAGGCCCTGGGACTGCAGGAGCTGACCACAGACAGGGCTTGTTGCCACGGCCTCCCTTCTCTGCCAGTGCTGAGAGATTATTTAATGGGCTATTTAATTAAGGGATAGAAGGTGCTGTGGGCTGGTCCCATGACATCCAGAAAAGGGGCATAGTACAGTATTGTACTCACTTTTTATAAAAATAGCACATGATGGGCCCACAAGGACCTAGACCCAGAGCAGGCCTCCCAGCGGGTGGGGAGTCTGGAGGGGTGAGGGCCCTCTAGATGGGCTGTGACCTCCCAGCAGGCATGGGAAGAACTTTAGTGTGTGTGTGGGGGGGGTTCAGTGGCAAAGGGGACCCAATCTAGAAAAGAGGTTTCAAACCTGCCATTAAACTATTTTTCTTAAAACTGAAGCAGTTGTGATGCTCTGTGTCCTTGCAGGGTGGTGAGGACATGGATGGGGACATAGTAGGGGGTCCCCCTCTTTTGGCATTGGGACCCAGAGCATGGTCCAGGGAATGGTCGTTTAGGGAAAAAATCTTTATTGAGTACAGTGCCTGATGCCAAGTAGTGCATTATCACCCTGGTGTAGCAGCCAAGCTAGTGATGCCCATAGCAGCCTGCCTGCAGGATACCCAGCCTGGCTCACTGCATCCTGGTTTACTTCCGGCCAAGGGCTGGGAGGAGACAGCAGGATGCCAGATGGGAGTGGCCAAGCCCTCTCCCTTCTCCCTCTCTCCCTCTTCAGTTACTGAAATTGAATGCTGGGAGGTGTGTTTTGAGGACAGGGGTGGGGTCCGACAAAGGAAGCCAAGTTTCCCTTCCCAGATTAAATAGAAATCATAAAATGGAGTTTATGGAAGGTCCTGCCAGTGGCCCAGGCTGCCAGGATTGGGGTGGGCAGGGCTTCAGGGAAGCGTCTGAGAGGTTTGGCAAGGCCCGTCAGCCAGTTGTTGAGCCAAGGGAAGACATAGTTCCCGGGTTTCTGGAATCCTAACAGCCCTGCTGTCAGCCTGCTTTTCCCGCCTTCGCCTTCGTTATCCAGCTTCCCAGGCCCTGCTTAGCTGCCAACTAGGCTGCCTGCCACACCCACAGCTGTTCCTTTACATCTGGAGCCAGGCAGGAGAGTTGGAAGGTCCCCCACGGGGAGTGGGACTCTCAGCTGTATTGCTGGCTTTCTCGGAAAGATTGCAGCCTTGAGGTTTTGAGACAGCCAGGCTGAGGCAGGACAGATAAAGAAGGACAACAATTTGGGAGGGACAGACGAAGATGGCATGGTTATAGACAGTGTTGGAGGGCTGTGAGAGCACCCAGCCTCATCCCACAGAATGGCCGTAAGGACCAGCAGTTTTCTAGGAAATCTGGCAGAATTACTTTGCCAGCTGCTCTCTTCCCAGACCTGGGGGGATCCTGAAAGCAAACAGGGCTCAACCTTCTGCATTCCCAAGTCCCCTTTCCTGCATAGCAGGTTTTGTTTTCTAGCCTTTGTCCTGTGGAGGGACATGACTGGCTCTAGCAGGGTTGGGAGTGTTGTAGCAGATCTGGGCTCTCTTTACCCTTGATGCTCCTCAGCTGCTTCTCATGAGGGTATGCAAGGGAGTGACCATTTCCTTAGCCAGGTCCTTAGATGTGGCTGGCTGTGCACATGACCCAGCTGCCCTGGACTGGGGCCACTACCCATTAGTGAATGAGCCAGAATCCAACACACAGGGGTGGGTCAAACCCCAAATCCACAGACACTCATGTAGACAAGGGAGGATTTGAGATTTTTGTTGGGTTCTGCTATAATACTGTTAACAGCCCTTCATGGTCACATACTAGGAGAAGTATGTGAATCTGAGGGAGTATGTGTACCCAAGTAGGCCACTGTTCGCTCAGTGAGTAGGCACAGCTTCCCAGGGTGCTCCAACCTTTAAGCAGATTAAGGCAGTCCTGGCAAAGGGGCAGCTGGGAGTGGAAGCTTTGAAGTGGAATTGTTGGATGGGGTGAAACAAACAACCAAAAACACCTGGTTGTGTTTGAGTAGATTCTAACTCATAGTGACCCTATAAGGCAGAGTAGAACTTTCCATTTTCCATGGCTGTAATCTTTATGGAAGCAGATTGCCACATCTCTCTCCTGCTAAGTGGCTGGTGGGTTGGAACTGCCAACCTTTCTGTTAGCAGCCAAACACTTAACCGCTGTGCCATCAGGGCTCCTTTGGTGTTCTGGGAATGGGACTTTAATGCTTGTTAAAGCACAAACAGTGTGAACGAACTGCCTGGCAGCTTGCAGGCTTTCACAGCCCTCCACACTGTCTATAACCATGCCATCTTCCTCTGTCCCTCCCAAACTGTTGTCCTTCTTTATCTGTCCTGCCTCAGCCTGGCTGTCTCATGCACTGAAAATAAGGCGATATGAAACGAATATGAAATGATGGGAAAGGGGGTGAGCGCTTGAGTCAAGAAATCAGGCTCATTCCGTATGACCTTGGGCCAGTCATTTCTCTGCTACTGTGCTCCAGTTTCTGCAATGCTGAAAACAGGAGGATGACGCCAGCCAATAAGGACCACTTCTATCAGAATTATCTGGGGTGATTACGAATGGAGATTCCTAGGGCTTACCTCAACCAGGAGGGATGAGGCTCGGAAATAGGAAATTGTAGCAAGCACCCAGAAGCATTCTACAAGTTCAGACTCCAGGACCATCTCCTGAGAGAGAACTGCCCTACAGCCTCCGTGTAAAAGCCATCCCAATCACCCAGTGCTCTTGAGAGGTGTTAATTAAGCGTACGCGCAGTTCACCCGCACGGACCAAGTATCTGCTCCTGGCCAGCCCCTCCCATCTGGCGGTGGCCCCGCGGCCACGCATGCGCCTTCTGAGCGGATTGGGGGCGAGCCTGGTGGGGTAGCGTGTAGCGGTGCCCTCCTCCCAGGCCCGCTGTGCTGGATCCTGTTTGTAGGCCTCTGGCGGGAGGCCTGAGGACACTGATTCCCTAGTCCCTCTATCTGCTACGGGCACCTCCCTGGTAACCGGCTCAGGGCCCAGCAACGGCTGCGGAAGGAGGGCCCGGGCGCCCCGCGGGGATCCTCGCCCCTCCGCCTGCGGTTTTGCGCGCTGTGTGAGCTGTTTGTCCTAGTCAGTTTTTAGAAGTGCTCCTTAGAACTCCTGCTGGGCCTGCTTCACGTGACCTGCTTTGAATTCACCGCCCAAGCGAGGGCGTGAAACAGACTAGGAGGAAGTGGAGCGCAGATCTTCATCTAACCCATTTACTACTCTAGTAGTCCAACCCTGCTCCACAGAGGAGGAAACTGAGGCCTGGAGAAGTAAAATGACTCTCAGCTCCGCTTCACAAGAAGCCAGACAAGAGTTTATATGTTTTTACCTAGCCCCAGGAAGAAATTGAAGTAATGGCAAAAAATGTTTGCCCTGGATTGCTAACTTCAGGGTTGGCAGTTCAGCCCTCTCAGCGGTACTGTGGAAGAAAAGGCTTGGCGATCTGCTTCTTTTAAAATTACAGCCAAGAAAACCCAATGGGGTAATTCTAACACGGGATTTCTGTGAGTCAAAATCAACTCAAGGCCAACTAACAACAACTATATTCACAGCACATGGTGTGCCTTAAGTTTGGACATTTCAGGTTTTATTTACACTTTCGGAGGACATATATACATCCATTTGCTTTTCCCCAAAGACTGTCTAGCCTACAAAAAGTTGGAGCTTGAAAACAGTTCTGTCCGCGAGGCAGTGAAGTGTAATGCACGGAAAATACAGGTGGTGGGATCCTAGGTTCTACTCCCTGTCCTGATATTTAATTAGCTGGGTAAACCCCTGCTTCTCCTGTAAAATAGTGATTATGCAGGCTTATCACACAGTAACATTTTAAGGATCTAGTGGGAATATGGTTGTGAAAACATTTGGTAGTCTGTGAAGTATGATATAAGTATTAAATTGGAAAGCTGCCTTGCATACTGGAAAGCAAACAAAATAGGTGAGGTATGTTGTAGGGCCAACAACTTGCCCAGGTATTTCCCAGGTACTGAGTATCATGGCTGGTTGCAGAAAAGTCTGTCTTCAAATCACCCACAAACTAAGCAGGAGAAGGTGAGACATTGTGAAACCACTCAAATTCAGGCTTTGAACAATGAACAAATGGTGAGTTTGAACTACTCTTTAGCAGTGATTTTCAAGTTGAACCCAGACACCTGTAGAGGTTCTAGAGAAAGTGATTTCTTGGGGGACATCATTCACGTCAGTGGCATGCAGCATACCATAATAGGGTCTAAACTACCTGATGGCAAGTAAAACCTCAGAGTTGGTAAGCTTTCTTTAAGTCCTCTGACCTTTGTATGTCTTAATCAAACTATTTTATTCAATTAATCTTCAAAAAACTGTTTTCGTTTTGAGCATTCCCACAGTTCTGTACCAAATGTGGTTCCAAGAGATCAGATCTTTCCAATTTAAAAGTTTATGGAGGCATGTATGTAGTTACAGCCAGTTTTCCCAACTAGTTTTACTCATTGGGTTTACTTCTCTAGTTAGAGATCTTTGAACTTCTGCATTCAACAAGTAAAGAGAGGGAGATGATACTTGAGTCTTACTAGCTGTCAGATTAGTGGGGGAAAGCCCTAATGTATTAGAAAGCTCCACTTCTTAAAGGGACTTCAGAGAGCTGAGAGCAGCCGAGAGAGAGGCATAGTTCTGTCTAAGAGGGTCAGTGCAAAAGGGCTTGGCAGACATTTTTAGGGGAAACCAACTTTGGGAGGCATTTCTTACCCCATTTCAGCTCCCAAAGAAGGCCAACAATTTAAATCACACCTATCCCCTCAACAGAGGTCCTCTGAAGAGCCTTGTGAGACTGGGAGGGTAGAGATGGGTGGAGGGAATGAGAGAAAGCTCAGATGGTCAAACAACCCTAGAGGATAGAAGTTAGAATTACTGAACTAAAGCATCCCAGAACTAAACAATCTATTATTCTGAGGCTTCCAAAAATACTACCAGTTTTCACACACAAGTGCCTTCACTTGCTTAAAAATATGTTTTTCCCTTCACTGATTATAAGCTTCTCTAGGTGAAGAAAAAAAAAATGACAAAAGTACAAGTTAAAGTCTGGTAGGGAGATTCCCTCTTGCCCTTTTCGCTCTCTCTCTCATTTTTTCCTCTGTGGACTTATGTTCCATTGATGTAGCCCTTACAGGCAGAATGATCAGGGAAACGTTTATAATTAAAAGTCAAAGAAGTGCTCCTTAACTGAAAATAGAAGCCTTGAAACTTCATATCACTTAATCTCTACTGCCTTCTTCATTCACTATTTCTCCTAAGTGCAGTGCCTGTTACTGTCACAAATATACTTTCTAATCAGTGGGCAGCAGGATCCTGGCTCTATTTCATTTCTTTGGGAAGGTGGTATCTTTAATTTTTGGTGGTACA